TGGGATCATTAACTCGTCCTTCATTATTATTGATTGGTTCAATAGCATGAGGAACAATAACTTTACTAGAGCTACAAGGCAATGGAACTTGTACTCTCACTTCATGATTATCCACTTTACGTGGTGTTTCACTCCCACTAACTTCACCATTCTCAATGAACCTTGCATTTCCAGATTCAATAATCCTTGTAGTATGATAAGGATAGTAAAATCTATACCCTTTCATCTTTTCTGGATTACCAATGAAATAACCACTGATTGTCCTTGCATCCAATTTCTTTTCTTGCGGATTGTAGTATCTAATCTCTGCCTGACAACCCCAAACATGCAGGTGTCTTATACTAGGTTTCCTTCTAGTCCAAAGTTCAAAAGGAGTCTTTGGAACTGACTTACTAGGAACCCTATTCAATACATACATGGCAGTTTTTAGAGCATAAGTCCACAATGAAACAGGTAAAGAAGAATTACTTAACATACTCATAACCATATCCAGTAAGGTCCTATTACGCCTTTCTGATACACCATTTTGTTGCGGTGTACCGGGCATTGTGTATTGAGCACAAATACCACGCTTTTCCAGAAATTTAGCAAATGGGCCCGGATGTTGTCCACTTTCATTATACCTTCCATAATATTCACCACCCCTATCAGACCTGACAATCTTCACCTTTCTGTCTAGTTTCCTTTCAACTTCATTAATATAAATCTCCAAAGCATTTGCAGCTTGAGACTTATCATGCAGCAAATAGACATAACCATAACGTGAATAATCATCAATGAAAGTGATAAAATATTTTTCTTTATTGAAAGCATTAACATCAAACGGACCACATACATCAGTATGTATAATTTCAAGAAGCTGAGTGCTTCTTCCTTTCTTTGTGTGTTTTGTTTGTTTTCCTTTAATACAATCCACACAAACATTTAAATCAGTGAAGTCTAAATCCGGAAGGATTTCATTATTTACCAATCTTTTCATTCTTTCTTTGGAAATGTGTCCCAAAAGTTTGTGCCACAAGTAAGCGGAACATTCATCAATTAAGGTACGTTTAGTACCAACATTATGATGCAGAGTCATAAGTGTTTCAGCATAAACATTATTAAGACATAATTTATATAATCCATCACATAAAGTACCATTACCAATCAAATGATTGTGCTTGTACAAGCTGAAACTACCACCACCAAATTTAAAAGAGTGTCCAGCAACATCAAGTTTGGAAATTGAAACTAAATTCCTAGATTACTAGGTACATAAAGAGTTTCACATAAATCCAAATGAAATCCACTGTCGAGAATTAAACGGTAAGTCCTAACAGCTTCCTCCGGAACTTTCACTCTATTGCCCATAAGGACAAACTTTTCATTTGGCTTTATGGTTTGGGTTATAAGGAATCCCTGCATTGTATTAGAAACATGAGTAGTATAACCAAAATCAATCCACCACGTAGTATAAGGAACTTCAGCCAGATTTGATTCATAACATACATAAGCACTAGGCTTACCTTTCTTTTCGAACCAAGCCTTACGTTTCAAGCAATCCTTTTTGAAATGCCCTTCCTTTTTACAGAAATGGCACCTCATCTTTGCATTACTTTCCTTTTTGTGGATTTTAGAAGAAGAGGCCTCATCAACCTTTAGGGGTCCTCTTCCTCCTCCTTTCTTCTCATGCTTCTTAGCTTTATTCTTTTCAGCTCCTTGATGCTTTACATAATTGATGGAATGAGCTCCCTGATTCTTAAGTCTGGTTTCGTCCTGAACTAGCATACTGTGCAATTCATGCACATTCCATTTATCTTTCATGGTATTATAGTTCATTTGGAAAGGACTATACTCAGACGATAATGAGTTCAATACGAACTGCACCAGGAAGTTCTCATCCATAGCCATTCTCAATGATTTCAATTTTGCCGTAATGCTTGTCATTTCAATAACATGCTCATGCATATTACGCGAACCATCAAACTTCATGGTGGTCAGTGTACTCATAAGTGTCCCAGCAAGAGACTTATCAGCGGTTTGGGAGCGTTCTTCCACAAGTTTCATCATTTCGATGGCACTTTCAGTTTGTGGAAGAGCTGACTTAATGTTGCTTGCAATGCTCATTTTCATGTACATCAGACTTAAAATGGTTCCTTTCATCCTCAGTGCTTTCAGGAGTAATAGCACCAGGTTCCTCTTCTCTAAGAGCCAAATCCATCTCCATTACCCCAAGGTAAAAATTGATTTGCTCTTTCCATTCAGAGAAGTTTAGCCCATTAAAAACTGTAACAGTTGAGAACATGAAATGTGTGGCAATAGGTACTGCGAGGAATAACGTTTAAACATTAATGCTCTGAGTCATACATGTCACGTACTAACATACTTCACAGATTCAAATATTCTAACTTCAATGCATATCAATGTTCACCTTTGGGGATCCATTAACATACAACATTAACCATAATGATGCTATATACATTTCACATAATTTGGCAATGATGCATAACCCTATCATAAATATTTGTCATATTTGGATGTCCAAATGCAAGGAAATATGCCAACAATACCAATATCCATGTTCATTTTATAAAACAAATAATCAACCTTTGGGTTGATCCCTAACTGTCCTATAATAATGAACTTCAATATACCACAACATGAATAATTATATCACACTATTCACAGCATCACAGTCATGGTAATTGAAATAAAATTCATAATATTTGAAATTAAAACAACTCTTCAAGATTTGGCCACTTTGGTGACTAACAAATCTACCATAATTAATTCTAAAACTTTGTCCAACTTTCATGTATAGCAATGTTCTTTCACGTTTTCCCAACAATTCATAAAATGGAATAAACATATGACAATGACACACTTTTCCAGTACAAAGACCAGAAAAATGACGCGAGTTAGCGCCACTCTTGCACAGTTTCAAACGATGATCCAGTACAATCTCCAGTGAAGTGGCGAGGATCAGTGCCAATTTGGCGCGATCCTGCGCCATAACCCAGTAAAAAGTCGCAACTTTATCCCATGTTTCATTAATGGTCCGTATTGCACAATTCCACGCACAGGAAATCTCAAAAGTATAAAACCCAGTGGTCCGATAAATTACATCAAGAACTATAAAGCCATTTATTCAAATGTGGACAGAAAACCAAAAATGGCAAATTCTTTTCATGATGCACGATTAATTGATTTCAAATGTTTATTATGAAATCCAACAATGATGCACGGTTACCGAAAAGCCATATCTTTTCCAAATCCATATTAGTTTTTCGTTTTTGCAAACAGCATTCGGTTGAAATTTCAAATGCTTTGTCATGGACACAAAATCGAACTCTCATCCAATAATTCAATCGAACTTTCATCCAATAAAACAACGAGAAATATCGTGAATTTTCAAAACTTAACTTTTCATGAATTAAGAATGGGAAAAGTGTTTGTCATTTTAGATGACAGAAAGTTATGTTATTTTAAGAGAGATACAGACACAGAAAATTTGAATTTTAAATTAAAAAAAATCACTCACTTTCTCCCTCTCATGATTTCTGTTTTGCTGTGTCTATCTCTCTCCTAAAAAGATATAACTTATGTCATTTAAAATGACAAACATCAAACCCATTAAGAATTCATTCATAATTATTTATGGAAAAACATAAATTCTTAAACACAGGCTCTGATACCACATGTAAGCATTTCATCAGTAATTCAGTAATTCATGTTCAACAATAATCATTCAAGAACATGACATAGGACCTTTAGAATTCATGAATTTTACATAAACATACATTTCTCCATAAGTGCGGAAGATCTTTGATGGTGAAATCCTTTTCTCTGAGCCTTAACCCTTCACTGTTCTTGTATATTCTTTGATAGGGATAGGATATAACTTTCATAAGCAGACCCAGATGGAACGTTATTTTCTGTCATACACCCTTATCAAAAAACTGACCATATGACTCTTATATAACTGCACCTATCAGCAGTTAAACCTTGAATAACTTCCCTTAATAGTCAAATTACCATAATGCCTTTTTATTAATTAAATCAACTGACGTATAATATTACACATGAGACAAATAGTTTTACAGTATACATCGTTAACATCATAGAAGCCAATAAATTCATGGAATCCTGAAGCAGAGAATGAGTTTATGATAAAGCTAAACATAATATCAAGAGAGCATACATAGGTCTAACAATCACTGCAAAAAGAACAAAATTTTCACTAATTTTGGTTTGCTGGGTTGCCAGTTAATCTTAGTCCCTTAGGTGCCATGATTCTGTTCTGTTCTGTTTTTTTTTTTTTTTTTTTTTTTAAATTATTTTACAGTAAAGTCCCTTAGGTACATAAAAAAAACACTATTCCTATTTTTGTCCCATACAAACGAAAAGAGAGTCAAATATTAGTCCTTCTTTATGAAGTAAATGGAGTCTTCATTAAATTTACTAAGGATTACATTTTTAAAGAATAGGGACCAAAAATTAATTTTTTTTTTAAGGAATAAAAATAGGTACGGTATTTTTTTGTAAGCGACTTTACTCATTATTTTATAAAATAGGTACTTTTCATGTTTTTTATTTAAAAATTAAAAATTTAAATCAAAAAAAAAAATTTAAATATATTCTTTAAATTTGATTATAAAAATAATTTTTTTTTACAATAAAAAAATAAACTTATTTCAAAGAGGCCCTCTTCTATAATTTTTGGGTTAAGAATTTATCATTTTAGAAGATACATACTTATATTATTTTAAATAAAATTACTATATTTTGACGATTTTTTTTTTTTTTTATCTCAAAATCAAGAAAATAGAGTAAATAAGAACAGAGAAGGTAAAAAGTCAATAAAATATGATAATTTCACTAAAAATATCAAAATTTATGTACTATAAAATTATAAACACTTTTCTCATAATTTTATCATCATGACTTATTGCAATGATTAATATAACGTGTGGCCACTACTGGTACACGAATCCTGAAACACACACCTGAAGTTTGACAACTATTAACAAGTTTCTCTTGTACATCTTTTCCTCGGATACTGCTACCTCTTACAGTTTCAAACCAAACCAAACACTAGCTAGCCATGGTGTTGGTGATTCCATGTCTTTCACACTGCCAAAGCTCTCTAGCTTTGCGTGTTTATGCTCCACCATCGAGGCAATTACTACTCTGGACTCTCTCCTCCCATTCATTCAAACCAAGAAGGAAGCATGCCAGGTTTGGTGTCGTGGCAGATACCAAATCTGCATCTTTGCTTGATCACAAAGATGGGGAAGAAGATCACAAGGTTCTTGTGGGTCCTTCCACCGACGAGGAGCGAAGAGGTGAAAGGGTTGTTGCTGACTATGATTGGACAGAAGAATGGTACCCTTTGTACCTCACTCAGAATGTTCCCGATGATGCACCCCTCGGTCTAAATGTGTTTGACAAACAGCTAGTGTTGTTCAGGGATGGCAATGGAAATTTTCGCTGTTATGAAGATCGTTGCCCCCACAGGTAACTGTTTTGTTCTTGGTTTCTTCCACTTCCTAACGTTATAATTCTACTCTTAGGCTTATAGTTTGCTTTCAAATGCTATCTGTGATCACATGCACATCATATAAGGAAGACACATGAGGAATTCATAATTACTTTAGCTAAAGAAGCTGCATGCAATTTGATTAAATGAAAATAACATGATTATGTGCTCGAGTTTTCTCAATTGGTGCAAGTTTTGTAGCTTCTATTAGAAGAGAAGAGATTGTCTTAGCCTTAAAAAACAGTCAAGCAGCCTGAATTTAATTTGAAATGGGTCTGTATCACTGATTATTTATCAACTTAATTTTACTGTTAAAAGTGTACTTGTGAAGTGTCCTTGTTTCTTAGTTGACATGGGGGTTGAAATTATATGCCAAATGAGATAAAGATGCCTGCAAAATTGGGAGCCTATGAAATTCTGATTCCATTTTTTGTCAAAATGCTGGACCTTATCTTTTTTATGATTCAGATTAGCAAAACTATCCGAAGGCCAGTTGATTGATGGAAGGCTCGAGTGCCTATACCATGGATGGCAATTCGAAGGTGAGGGCAAATGTGTGAAGATACCTCAGGTTGGTTACCCTCCTACAGTTAAATCAAATGCCCATATAGTTGCTTCCAAGCTTAATGCCACATGATGTTTATCACTCTTTTTGTGTTTACAACAGCTTCCAGCTGATGCCAAAATCCCTCGGTCAGCCTGTGTTGCAACATATGAGGTAAGGGACTCTCAAGGTGTTATTTGGGTATGGATGTCTAGAAAGACCCCTCCAAATGTTGGTAAAATACCTTGGTTTGAGAACTTTGCAAGGCCAGGGTTTCAAGATGTTTCAACAACTCATGAACTCCCATATGATCACTCTATTCTTCTGGAAAACCTGATGGATCCTGCTCATGTCCCAATCTCACATGATAGAACGGATTGGACTGCAAAAAGAGAGGATGCACAGCCTCTGTGTTTTGAGGTGACTGAACGAACTGATAGAGGGTTTGCAGGTTGGTGGGGCAAAGAGAAGGATGGTTCTATGTCTAGCTTCTTACGGTTTGAGGCTCCTTGTGTTCTACAAAATAACAGGGAAATTGTTGATAAAAATGGTGAAAGACACTACTTCAGTGGTCTGTTTCTTTGCAGACCAACTGGGCAAGGGAAATCCATGCTGGTAGTGAGATTTGGAACAACAAAAAGATCTCCAGTAGCAAAACTGTTTCCTGAATGGTACTTCCATCAGAATGCAAGCAAGGTGTTTGAGCAAGACATGGGATTCTTATCATCCCAAAACGAAATTCTTTTGAAAGAGAAGGTTCCAACAAAGGAACTGTACATGAATCTAAAGTCATCAGATACATGGGTTGCTGAATACCGGAAGTGGATGGACAAAGTGGGGCATGGGATGCCATATCATTTTGGTCACAGCACTATTTCCTTGCCAAAAGAGCCTGCTGTGGTTGAACATGCACCTGCTGGACTCATTGCAGGACTATCAGCTTCCTTACCTGCCAAGGGGGGCATTGGAACAATGCATGCCCCAAATTTAGCCAATAGATATTTTAGGCATGTAATACATTGCAAAGGATGTAGAACAGTTGTTAAAGCTTTCCAAGCTTGGAAAAACTCCCTTTCAGCTGTGGCCGTTGCATTAGCCGCATTGGCAATTCTGGTATCTGGGAGACAATGGAAAGCACTTCTCTTGGTATCTGCTTCTCTGTGCTCTGTTGGAGTGTATGCATGCTCAACCGCCATTGCAATGAATACAACAAACTTTATTAGGACACATAGGAGATTGTGAGTGACAAGGTGTATAAAATAGTCGTTTTCAAACGAACACTCCTATTTTATTTAATGATTTATTACATGGAAGGATGATATCTTCTAGTCTCGTCTCCTTCTCTGTTATTTAAGCGGAACAATCTTATCTGAGTTCTCAGGGGGAGGGTATAGTCTGCCAATAAAACCCTCCGATATATTTATCTTAATTAAAAAAAAAATACTGGGATTTTACTCTATTTTGGATCCAAAAAGGTCAAGGAGGAAATTGTTAGATTTTAAAATCAGTATGATTTTTTCACTAAACCTCAACTTAAAGGTTCCCATAAAATACAAACCGATCAAAACTTTCAAAACTGCTGCTTCACATTTCATTTTCGTAAAACAACGACACTTGTACATGTCAATAATACATAAAAAAAATACCAATTGAATGCTTCCAGTAAAATGTAAGCGTTTGTTAAAAAAGGAATAACTAGACAATATTGTTCAATGTAGAGTAATCTGTCGTTAAAGAGGCTGCCGCATCTGTCAGACAGGTGAAAAATGAGGTATTATATAACTTCAATTCTCACGACTTGAAATATGCTCCACCATTTAAGCACTAGTTTTGCTACTACGAAGTAGGAGGTTCTTCCAACCACTTTGCACGAAAGCCTGTTCCTTGACAATCAGAGCAGCACATTGATCCCTGAATAATAACAAATCAACGACACAATAAGTCTCTTATAGATTGGTACGATGAGAGCGTACAGCGAAGAAAAATGTTAGGTAGGGCAACAGTATAGATGAACTGAAATTCAGATTAAACTTTCATCATAAAGGTACCTTCCCAGTGCAAATAATACAGCTAGTGTTTCTAGATGGGACTTCACAAAGCATGTTATCACCAAGAATAAAAAAACCAGTACCCCCACACCATTTGCATTCAATATGCCCTTTTGAGTTGCAAGATGAACACACGATTGGCCTTGGTTGCTGCAAGCATCATAAATATGAGAGAAATCAAGGACCAGCATGGCACTATCATAATGTATTTAATTTTAAGATTACTTTGAAGTAAGTTATCAAATCACAATTTAAATCATGAATCACCATGCCAATTTTTGAATCGTGAATTGTAAATCATAGAATCGTAACATTCAAATACACAATGAAAAATAAATTGAACTACATCATATAAATAATTCAAAATTATGTAGGGACAAAATAACTTGACCATAAGTCTAATAAAACATCCAGAATCATATAACTGAGTCACATAAAATGACTGCATAATGCCTAGGTTTCAAAAGAGCGAAAACAAAGCGAAGATATAGCCAAATAAGGTGCATATAGAATGAGTGAGTGAGTGACTATGTAAAGTCTCCGTTTCAAAAGAATAAAAATAGAGTAATGGAATAGCCAAATAGGATGCATAGAGTGAGAGAAAAGCAATGGAATAATCAAATAGTGTGCATTAAGTAGTGCTCTTTTAGTTCCTTTTCATTTAAGGATTTAAGCTTCTTTGACTTTTTAATTTCTTTTACAAGAATTAAGGATAGAAAAGCAAAAAAAGAGTAATGAATCATTGAAACATACAATTCGTATTGGTGATATGAAGTTGAACCCCTTCATGCATGTATTTGCACGATTCAAAGCCATCTCCGGTTCATCACATGATATGAATTGTTGCCTTGTTGAATCGTGTCAAATCACGCAATTCAAATCACAAATCATTATATTCTAACAATTATGCTCTGAAGCACTCCTCAGAGCAGGACTAAGAGATAATTGTAAACTTGGTATATGGTTTCATTCATTTGTCGCCAGCAGCAACTTTTAAGTTGGCAATTACTAGGCTAGAGTTGCAGACTATGAAAAATCATCTGGTCATACAAAGTTTCTACCACAATAACTATGCAAGATTTATGTCTGACTCTATTAAAAATATAACCATATGACAAAGGTATGGCCAATACTTTCAATTCAACGATTTAAAAATCACAGTGATAATAATGGTGTCCTTTGATAAATATGTTCTAACTTCTATTTAGTATTTACTTTTTTTTCTTCTCCAGCCACAAGTTTTCCTAATAAATGATATAACGTAGAAGTTGCAATTGTTTCTAGAATGGACTCAAAAGTCATACCAGATGCAACCTATACAGTAATACAACCAATCATGGAAAGTGACAACCCTATGCCCATGATCAGTCAAAACTTCCTACCAAGCAGCCAAACACATTGAAAAAGGAGCCTTCAGAGGATAACTGATCAATCACTGATCAGCATAGCCGTAAGGCTTAATAAAGTGCTTGTACGGAACTTGCCATGTATAAGCAATAAAACAGAAACAAAACACTTGAACTAAAATGAATGGTTATGAGATTCAAATTTTTGAACAGGGATCCTCTGATCAAATCGATACACCCCAAATTAAGCAGCACAAAGCAGGGATTGGGCGTGGTAGGTTGCGTTACATTAAAATTGAATTGAACCCTTTTGTTTGTGTTCATGCAAATAAATAAATTAAAACCCTAAAGCTTCGTATAAATATGCATTATGTATGTTTAGTATAGGATAACAAAAAATTAGGGTCGGAAAATGCTGAAATTTGGAGAATATGTATAAATATGAAGGAAAGTGTGAAAGAGAAAGAGAGAAAGAAAAAATGAGAGAGTTTGAACCTGAGAGATTAACCAGGTTCGTTCCATGCGCCTAGCGAAATCAGCCGAGGAGTCCACCATAGAAACCCGGACCCGCATCCGAGAAATTCTACTGTTACCACCCACAGTTTCTGCAATTCCAATTGGTGATGTGAAGAAACTTGTAGCGTGCATTGCTTTTGGAATAAGCGCTGACCCACTACTACAAGATACAAATCTATCCATTTTCTTTTTCAAGTTTCAACCTTCAATAATCAGATATCAGTTTGTGATTGATCGATGGTTCTCGGCGCAAAAATGAAGCGCTCCCTGCAGACAAGAACACGAATATTGCACGTTGCTTCTTGTGCTTGCTTGCACAAGTATCAATGTTAATATTGTGATTTTTTTAGAAAGAAAAATTGTCAAGATGGAAAGAACACAAAACCGTTTTTGCTAGTCCAGCGCTAAAATTTAATTAAATTTAAGGGCTTTAATGTTTGTAGAGTGAACGTAGATAAGTTGTTATCTACGTTCACTTAAAAAATTATAATGAAAAGGATTATTATAATTCTAAAATAAATTATAATTACAAAAATATCGTGATTTCCGTCTTAAAATGACGTGTTTTGAGCTCAATGTAAATAAGCTATTTACGTTCACTTTAGAAAAAGCAAACCCTATATCTAATAAACAATATATTATATAAATTATGGGCATGAAGTTTCTCATGTTTTATTAGATAAAATTATTTTCTATATCAATATATATAATATAAAAATATGGGACAAGATATACTTACAACCAAAAAAGTTTATCACGTTTACAACCAACCTAATCATAATTGATTTCTGTCAATCTAACGGTTATAATTTATTAGAAATTAATAATTAATTAATAAATACGACTCAATAATTTCCAATAAATGATAACCGTTAAATTGACGAAAATCAATGGTGATTAGGTTGGTTGTAAAGGTTGTAAACTTTTTTGTGGTAAGTATATCCTTCTCCTAAAAATATATAGGATTCGTGTAAAAAAAAGAGAGAGAAAAAAAGAAAATATAGACTTCATATATTTTTTTTATGTATATAAGAAATAATTTTATTTCCTATTATTAAATATACAAATCATATATCATAGTAAATGTTTAGTATATAAAATACTGTTTATATAGTATTGTGGAATAAATAAATGTAAAAAACCCAAATGAGTAACTTAGCGTAACAAGTTGTGAATAATAAATGTGTTTAAAGTTTTTTCTGGTAAAAGATAAAATTATTTTTTATATACATAAATGTGTGGGGTTTAAATTTTTTTTTCTCTCTTTCTTCTCTCACACCATTCCCACATATTTTTATATATGTTTAGGAAATGACACGAGAAACTTTAAACCCATAATAAATATATTAAATTCTTTTAATAAAAAGATAACCTATGACATTGCTTAGCTATATAAATTATTAAATTGAGATAATATATAATTAAATGAAATATGAGAAGCTATGAAACAATTGAGAGGATATAGCAAACAGCCAATATGTGAGTTTTGTAAACAAGTGGAACTGCGTTCCGTTTGAAATTGCTCGATTGGGATTGGGACACATGCCAAGTCTGACCCTCAATCTAAATCCAAGCAGTCTTTCCTCATGCAGTTTTTTTTGGGGTCAGCTACCCAATTTGTTTGGTTTCATCTGCCTCCTAAGCCATGTTCTTTTGGAATTGTTCTTCTTCGGCTCAACAATACCAAGGGAACCCAAAAGCCCATATGTTATTGAATCCTAAGGCCTAGAGTGCACAGTGCATACGAATCCCATATTTTATTATATGGACTGCATCATTACAAAGGTATCTACTCATTTTGAAGACTAACGTTTTCCTATCTATCTCATCATGATTGTAACTAACAAATTTTTCATTTTTAGGCGGGTCCATGGACGACTGCAGAGACCATGATTCAGGGCCTCCCCATTATTTTGAATGATTGTATTGCTGGACAGGTATTTTGGTTCTGGCTATATTTTTTATCTTGTCAATAAACATAAAAAATACCTAGCTCCCTATCCCTTTTGTAGGTACCTTTTGCTAGTATATTTGGTAAACACTACGCATGACCCACAAAGAATAAGTGTTGGTCAAGTGGTTTCTATGGAAAGGATGCAAAGGAACACACTAGAGGAGGTGAATAGTGTGTTCACGAAATTTTAAAAGTTTTCTCGTGTGAACTTTAGAATTTTGATACAGCTAATAAAGACTGGTTTTTCAGAAATTATTTAGATTGCTACAACACTTCCAATTTTAACAAGATCATCAAATGAGACTAACCAACCTAAGTTGTATTTAATCGTCAAGTCCTAGGAGGCACTTCAATTAGCACATAATAAAGAGCTGCATAAACAAGGTGTGTAATGGGTGGAAGTATTTCAAAGTTTGCAGTTTGGAAAATAAGTGCCTGTCTAAATTGTTCTATTATGCATACTTTGAATCGGGAGGGTAGGATAGGAGGAGTTGAAAATTCATGTTATACTGTTGTAAATTAATTTTGGTTTTGAATGTAGGGCTAGTGAGGATGAAGTAACAAGTAAGATTGTTACTGAGCCTGAGCACCATGCTCATACAAGATCAATAAATGATGAACTTACTGCAGTTTCCTTTCCTTCACGAGCTTGTCAGACAAAGAAGTTTCTAGCCAGTGACATAAGCCGAGACAGGGAGATTGGCTTCTTCCACTGGAAGATTCAACAGTGTACAGCTACCCAGGAAAGGTAGATATAATACCTACCATTCCCTGTAACAGGGAAGGGAAGGTATTTTCGGGCAAACAAGACCAAATGGTACCTGAATAGTTCCCAAGCATAGAATCTCAACTTTTGGCCATGGTTTGGATTTTGATTTTGCATTATTAAGAGGATATGCTAAGGGACTAATATAATTAAGTTATTTATATTTTGTCACATTATTCCAAAGTATGTGTTTTATATTGGAGTATCACAAAATAGATCAACATCATCAATATCAACAATATCTTTATCCCAAATTAATTGTGGTCGGTAGTAGATGAATCTAAATAAAAAATACGAAAAAGGTTGAAAAAAATAAAAATAGAAATAGAAATAAATAAATAAAATAGTAATATAAATATATATGAGGTAGGATCCTTTGACACCAGTGTCAAATTTCAAATTTGACACCTCATCTGAGCCATCAGATCAAAAAAAATCAATGGCTCTGATTTGTAAGCATGTGACACCATTGATTTTTTTTATCTTATGGCTCTCAGATGAGGTGTCAAATTTGAAATTTGACACTGATGTCAAAGGATTCTACCTCTATCTCTCTCTCTCTCTCTCTCTCTATATATATATATATATATATATATATATATATATATATATATATATATATATAAAGTAAAAAAGAAGGAGAAAAGATGAAGAAAGGAAAATGAAGAGGAAAAGGACTAAAAAGGGACCATCTGGAACATAGGAATAACAACAGGTCTAACCCTCCACCATGTTTATAGTTTTTATCCATTCCGTTCTAAGGCATACCGTCCGCCAATCTATATCTCACTCCATTAAATCTTGTTTTACTACCTTCCCCCAAGTAAGTTTCGGTCTACCTCTATCTTTTTTTTTGTTGAGCTCTTGGTAATAAACTTTTGTTCTTACGGGAGCATCCAGGGGCCTTCCCCAAACCACATCAATCTATGTTCTCTCATCTTTTCGGCCACCGGTAGTACTCCTACCTTTCGTCGAATATCTTCATTTCTTATCTTATCCATCCTCGTATAACCACACATTCACCTTAACATCCTCATCTCTGCTACTCTCATTTTATGCTCATGTTGCCTATGTGCTGGCCAACATTCAGCTCCATATAGCATTGCAGGTCTTACTGCTGTTCTATAGAATTTTTCTTTTAACTTAAGGGGGATTTTGCGATAACACAAAAACCCAGATGCACTACACCATTTTATCCACCCTGCTCTGATTATATGATTTACATCCTCATCAATCTCTCCACCTTTTTGCAAAATGGATCCCAGTTATCTAAAAGCATCTTTCTTGGGTACCTCTTGACCACTTAGATGCACGAGATCTTGGTCTACATCTCTTACCAGAGAGAACTCACACTTCAAATACTCAGTCTTGCTACGACTTAATGTGAATCCTTTAGATTCCAACGTGCTTCTCCACAATTCAAGTTTTCTATTAACATCGTCTTTGTTCTCATCAATAAGCACAATATCATCTGCAAAAAGCATACACCATGGCACTTCCTCTTGAATATCTTTTGTTAGTTCATTCATAACTAAGGCAAAGAGATAAGGACTTAGAGCCGAACCTTGGTGTACACCTACCGTGATGGGAAAATAACTTGATGTTCCGTTACAAGCTTTCACAGATGTAGTAGCCTCATCATACATATCCTTGATTGCCTTTACATACTTTGATGATACTTTTCTCTTCTCAAGAACCTACCATAAAACTTTCCTTGGAACCTTGTCGTATGCTTTCTCAAGATCTATGAACACCATATGTAAGTCCTTCTTCTTTTCTCGATATCTTTTCATTAATTGTCGCATCAAGAAAATGGCTTCCATGGTACATCTTCCCGGCATAAATCCAAATTGATTTACAGAAACCTTGGTATCTCTCCTCAAGCGATGTTCAATAACCTTCTCCCACAACTTCATAGTATGACTCATTAGCTTAATGTCTCTATAGTTAGAACAATTTTGTATATCTCCCTTGTTTTTGTAAATAGGCACAATCATACTTTTCCTCCATACATCAAGCATCTTATTTGTTTGAAGAATCTTATTGGAAAGATTGGTCAACCATTTTATTGCCACACCCCCCAAGCCTCTCCACACTTCAATAGGGAAACCATTAGGTCCCAAGGCTTTATTAGACTTCATCCTCTTTAAGCCTCCTTAACTTCATGTGTATTAATCCTGCGCATAAATCTTCTATTCAATTCATCATAAGCATCCTCCAAGCCCGCCTCGTTTATATCGCCATCCCCATTAAACAGCTTGTTGAAGTAGTTCATCCATCTTTCATTTACATCTTTATCTCTCACCAAAAGTTTTTGATTTTTATCCTTGATGCATCTAACCTGGGTGAGGTATTTACTTTTCTTATCCCTTATTTTGGCAAGTTTATATATACCTTTTTCACCATCCTTTCTCCAAAGATTTTTATACAAATCAACGAAAACCTTGCCTCTAGCTTCTCGCACTGCTTTCTTTGCATTTTTTCTCGCCAATCTAAACTTTTGCAAGTTCTCTTCGCTGGGACTTTTATGCAAAGATCTAAGGCATTCCTTCTTATGTTTAATTGCCTCTTGCACCATTCTATTCCACCACCATGTTTTCTTTGTATGAAATATATTTCCTTTGCTTTCTCCTAACACCCTCCTTCCCATATTCTAAATACACATAGCCATCTCATTCCATATTGCATTTCTCCTCCATCAAACTCCAAACGTCCTTCGTGCAACATTCTTTCATTGAACTCTTTCTCTTTTCCCTCCTTAAGCTTCCACCATCTTATCCTTGGGTTCTGGGTCTTCTTCCTCATTGTAAGTATTTTGTTGAACCGAACCTCCAGGACTATCAACTTATGGTGCGTAGCGACACACTCTCCAGGGTAGACCTTACAGTCGACACAAGAAGTTCTATCTTCTCTTCTATCCATGAAGAAATCAATCTGACTATGATTTTGGCCACTATGATATGTGATTAGATGTGACTCCCTTTTTCGAAAAAAAGGTGTTCGCTAGCATCAAATCGTAAGCTAGTGCAACATTCAATATATCTTCTCCAATCTCGTTTCTCGTCCCATAGCCAAAACCTCCATGAATTCTATCAACACCTCCATTGCTTTTACCAACATGACCATTTAGATCTCCTCCTAAGAAAATCTTCTCCTCTCGTGGTATTCCCATCAAAACCTCATCCAGGTCTTCCCAATACTGGCTTTTATCATTTGGTTACAGTCCAACTTGGGGTGCATACACACTGAGGATATTCAAGATTAAATCACCCACTACAAGCTTAACCAGAATAATCCTGTCGCCTTTCCTTTTGACGTCCACGACTTTATCTCTGAAACTTGTATCGATCATAATTCCAACACCATTTCGACTCTTGTTTATACTTGTGTACCATAACTTGAAACCAGTTCCATCCACTTCCTTGGCCTTTTCTCCAGCCCACTTAGTTTCCTGCAAGCAAACAATATTCACTTTCCTTCTAGCAAAAATATTTGCTAACTCCCTCAATTTACCTCTTAGGGTGTGTTTGGTACAGGAGAAATTTTTTGGTGACCGGGAATCATGATTAATGAGAATTCAGTAGAAATTGAGTTTACTTGGAATCTTACGAAAGATGTGTTTGGTTCGCCAAAATATTACCGGGAATATTGGGTAAAAATTACTGATTCCATATTTGGTTTAGAACGAAATATGACTTGGAATATGAGGTTATTTTACAAAAATAACCCCAAACTATTTTTACTTTTGTAATTGATAGATTGGGTCTAGATTTTTATGTGTATTGGGGTATTTTTGTCTCAAAATTTATTGTTGTGCTTTCCTTTCACTTGGTATTCTGATTGGTATTCCTATTTATCATATTATTTTTGGTAATCTGAATAGTGACTTTTCTTTATAAATCAAATTACCGGTAATCCTTGGATATCCGGGAATCGTAATTTATTCCTTCTACCAAACGTGGTAATTACATTTACCAAAGAAGGATTACCGGTAATCCTCTCCAAAAACTTGAACCAAACACCCCATTAAGGTTTCTATATTCCAGCTTCCCAATCGCATCCTTAACCCTTGGGCTGTACTTGCCCGCCACGCTCGTCCATCTGCGTGTTGGGACCCTGACATACTTCTCACCTAATTTGGGTGAAGACCTGGCGCCTTGCCTTTAGTCAAAGACCCTAGCATATTTTTCACAAAATAAATACTCTTATATTAAAATTATAAATAATATTTTAAAATTTTTGTATTTATCTATCTTTTATAAATATTTATAGGGAAATGATATACTTACAACCAAAAAAGTTTATCACATTTACTTTCAACCTGATCTCTGTTGATTTCCGTCAATCTAGCGGTTATAATTTATTGGGTTGCATTTATTAATTAATTATTAATTCTCAATAAATTATAACCGCTAGATTGATGAAAATCAACGGAGATCAGGTTGGTTGTAAATGTGGTAAACTTTTTTGGTGGTAAGTATATCATGCCTCATATTTATAAATTTTAATAAAACACTACTTAATTAATAATATCTATGAAAAATACACACAATTTTCAAATAACAATGTTACCATGAAATTTTAAGATGAAAAGAAATAGTGTAATGAATGTGATAAAAGAAATTTTGACTTAACCTGTGATTTTGAATTCTGATTCAATTTCTAATCATGTTAAAATTTTAATAAGATGAATTTCTATGCTGCTCCAATCCAATTAATCGAATAATTTGTTAATTATTAAAGATTAAAAAAAAAAGAAAATATCAATATTATCTTCCCTTTTACTGTTAAAAAAAGTGGTTGGGTGAAACGGTGGGTGAAGGTGATGTGAAATAAATATGAGAGTTGTCATGTACTAGTTAATATGATTATGTAAAGTAAGAGAATCTAATCTAATTATTTTTCTCAAAAAAAATTTAACGCTGAGAATTGAATAAATAATTTAATATAAATTATTTAAATTTTCATCACTTCACCAATTTTAGTAGCTTGATTCTATCACATTTTATTTTAATATTTTTTTTGTTCATTAATTATTGAGAGTGAATTCTCTTATTTTAAAATTTCACTTGATTATGTGAAATTTTTACATGCAACTTTTTTTCAATTAATAATAATTAAACTCTACATATTTAATATATATATATATATATATATATATATATATAAATTTTACATGAGTAAATAATATAAAATTTTATCATAATAGCATGGATTCCTTTAATTATTACATCCTCCACGTAATCATGATAAGAGAGGATCGATTCCCAATAAATGTCGAAAGGTGAAAGAAGGTGTTGATATTAGTTTGTGATGTGATAATCGCATCTCATTCTCATCAACGCTGCGTAGAGGCAATGGAGTTCACACCCCAGCAACTGAGCCAATACAACGGCACCGACCCATCGAAGCCCATATACGTGGCTTTGAAGGGGCGCGTGTTCGACGTCACCGCCGGAAAATCCTTCTATGGCCCCGGTGGCCCCTATTGCATGTTCGCCGGCAAAGACGCCAGCAGAGCCCTCGCCAAGATGAGCAAGAACGATGAAGACATCTCTCCCTCACTCGATGGTCTCTCTGACAAAGAGATCGGGGTTCTCAATGATTGGGAGAACAAGTTCCAAGCTAAGTACCCTGTTGTTGGCCGTGTTCTTAATTAATTATTTAATTATCTTATCATCCTCTGTATTCGGATCATACTATGTTTATGTTTTTATGTTTTTATGTTTCTGTTGTCTGAACACACTGTTAATTACCCCCCTTTCCCATCTCCCCAATAATTAAACTTTGTCTATCACTATTCTGCAAAGGGGATTTTATGTATTTCTCTGTTTGATGCTTCTCGCTCATCAATGTTGTGGATGCAAAAATTGATCTTTCTCCAATTATTCCTGCCCACTCAAAGAATATGATAATCTTGTCATCCTGCTCAATTGAATTTCGTTGATTGAATTGTGTTTTCTAGCGACAGTAGAGAATTCATTTTAATTTTTAATTTTGCAATAATATCAATTATGTGTTATCTATACCCTTGATATGAATACTTCTATGAGAGTCCAAAGTAATAATCCTAATATAATGCAATAAAGTAGCAGTTTTCTTTCATTCTTTCTTGGAATCCCATGGCTACTCCCATTGTTTGAGTTAGAAATAACAAATTAGAGAGATAGAGAGAGAGAAAGTGATGGCATGATTTGTGTATAAATGACTGGACTCAAGTAAGCTAGACTCCAGATTTGCAGAAATTGAAGCCACTCCACCCAAATTCCAAAATAGCAAGACGACTAGTCTTTTTTTTTTTTTTTTTTTTTGGATAAATCACGACAATGATATTCGGGCTGGGTTCAGGATTAATACTTTAAACCTCTCCTTAATATGGAAATCGAACACATACTCTCATCTCAACTCCCACAAGTCAATCAAACTACCATCAAGAATATTCTTTTGGAAACAACAAATTCCCACAAATCCCCCTTTTTTTTTCCCAATAAAACATTGAATTTTAATAATATAACCGAGGTTCCAAACATTAATAAAAAGTGATGATTCAATTCTTGAAATTTGTCAGTTCCAAACGGGGTCAAAGATTGTTGAAAAATTTGCCAATCTTATAAAACGCTGATTAACAAGACCTAACTCAAAGGCAATACTGAAGAGTTCATAAGATTGTGCCAGCAAATAACAATGGTAACATTTGAGAAATATCGAGATAAATCTTTGGAGACTTTTGTTGCCTGGGTGTGATAAACTGCTAATGGCAGACGTCACCAATGTAAAGAAAACAGTATGTAGCTATACCCGAGGTGGTGAATTATGGAGTTTTTTGAGATGCAATATCAAAAATAGTTTCTCTGTCCATTCAATTAATATAGAAGCAGATTGGCAATGATTGATTTGGATAGGGTAAGCGCAGCAGTTCATTGTCGTACTAAGGTAAAGAAATTCACACACACACGCATGTATGTCTCATGTGAGGCATAATTTGATTATTGGTATCAATGAGCGGGGCATAGAATTAGATTATAAAATGAGAGACTCTCCAGCTTCCATTCTGCAATATACACGGTTAATCAGCAACTCGACCCCATATATTAAAGGAAGAATATTTTATCATATTACATGAGAATTGAATTTTCATGTTGTGACTCTTCGATTTGTGTTAAACTTTTTTTTTCTCTTTTTAATAAATGTAGGGTCCACCACTAGTTGAGTCACAACATGAGAATTCAATTTTCATGCAATATGAGAAAATCAAATCCCTATATTAAATGGGATAAATAAATCTATGTTATAGGAACAAAGTTTCTCATGTTATGAGAGCTCGATTCTGCGTTAATATTTATTTATTTATTTAAAATTAATGGGTCCATTTGGTTGTATGTATAGGAAAAAAAATTCTCTCATGTTGCTTAAGAAAATGCAACCCCATATTAAATACACATCATGTGATGTGCTAAAGAAAAAAAAATATGCATCATGTGAACTTATCTCAACACTACATGTACATCAGGAGAAACCCTACAGGCTACAGCACTCCCGTTGAAGTGCATCTTTACTCGAAGAGGGAAGTTTTTAGAATATAGAGGGAATTATAAAAAAATATATATATATTAAAGTTAAAAACTTTTCTTTTTTTAAGTAAAAAGGTAGTTTGATACTCCCATGTAGAGCTGGCAAAACGGGCTCGGCTCGGTGGCCCAACCCGCCAAACGGGACGGGGCGGGCTGAGTTTTTCAACTCATCTCAAAAGCGGGGCGGGGCGGACTCATTTTTTGGCGGGTTGATGGCGTGCATAGGCAGGTCGGCGGGTCAGTGTAAAATAGGTTCGGGCTGGCGGGCCAACCCGTCAAACGGAGCGGGACGGGCTGAGTTTTTCAGCCCACTTCCAAAAGCGCGGCGGGGCTGGCTGACTCATTTTTTGACGGGGTGGGACGGGCCGGGGCAGGCCGCCCACTTTGCCATCTCTACTCCCCTGTATTCAAGAAATTGGAATACATTAGGGAGTATCAGACTTAATATCTTCACTACATTAAGGACCGTTCCAATTAAAATATTAGGATTAAACTATTTTTGAAAAAAAAAACTTTTCAACAGAGCTATAAAAGTAAATTATTGTTATTATTTACCAAATATGTTTTTGGTTATGTAATTATGTAGGGAGACAAAGCTCCTTGTGAAGCAATTTCAAGTAAACCATTCGATCAAGTAAAATGAGTGGACTCAAGTAAGCTGCCCTCCAGATTCGTGGGATTTGCAAACGGATAGAAAAATATAAAATAGATATTGTGATTATAGGATCACGAATTCGATTACCATCGTATTAATTTTTTAGTAAAATTAAATCATTATAAGATAAAACAAAAAATAAAAAGCCTGTGTAATATCTACGCTTCAATCCTTTGTGTGAAGGGATGTTAAGAATATAATATAAAATCATTGTAGGTCCATCACTTAACAATTTAAGTTTATATGTGAATTGGTTCTTTATATGATATTAGAGATAATATGACTAAGTGATCATAAGTTTAATTTTTTATTATTAAAAATAATCATATATTATGGATTTTTTGTGTGCAAATAGGTTGGATGCCTGGACGTAATATATTATACATCTTTCAAGATTAATTAATATAATATTATTTATTAATTTCCTGATTTAAATTTTTGAGTTAAATTAATTCTTTATATACACTTTTATGGTAGCAACACTTTCCCGAAGTGTATATAAATTTGGGAATCTTTGTGTTTCCCAAAGTATATATCTGTTCCGTATAATTTTAATTTAATGTGTCTCTGTCGTGTCCGCATTAGTGTCATGAGTGTATAATGGCAAGAGATTTGCAAACTTTACAGCAGCGACACTTTCGCTGCACTAAGCAGCAAGTAGAACCTGAGTTTTCCTTTATGCAGCATTTTTTAGAAACTGAGAGAACTTCAGTATTTTCATTATGGGTTTTATGAGTATAATATTGTAGGATATGAGAAAAGTTTTTTACTCTCACAATAAAGAAGAGAGAGAAAGTAAAATGATGAAATAGAAAAAATAATATGTGAACCCTACCTCTTAATTGTGTGTGTAGGAAAATTTTATTAAGTTATGTAACATGATATTAATAATACCCTTTCATTATATGAGAAAGTACAAAATGATATGATACAGAGAAATAACCAATGTTATTAAAATCAGTCCGGTTATTGATCCGATTGAGATACTGGGTCACTGGTTCAACCGCAAGATCCGGTAATTATTTACAATTTTATAATTTATATTAAAAAATTATAAACATATTCAAATATCTAAAAAAATGATAAAAATTCCAAAAATATTTTAATATAAAAAATAATAAATCACATATTATTGTCCAATAAAGATCAAACAAAAATATAATAATCGTGATACGGGACTTTAGGTTCAGAAAATGACATCTCTAACTATAAATCAATTCATAATTTTCTGCATATACATAATTGAGATAATATTAGTGTTGTAGGTACATAACTTATGTAAATCAATAAGCAAAAAAATATTCAAATATGTACATTATGATTTTTTTTGAAAAAAAAAAGTTTTGGAATTTTTTTATTTTTTTTTGGACTTGGCCGGGTCACCGGTTTTTTATGAAAATCGATCGGGTCAGACCGAGTCGCACCGGTTCTGATGCATGGCCCGTCCGTTGCTTAAACCGGACCGGTTATATGACCAGTTATCTTTTGAATCATTTTAGCCGTGACGACTTGGTGATTCAAAATTTACTGTAAAACTTACAATAATAAAAATAAGAATTATTGAAATAAATGTAAATCATCAAAGCCAAAACTTTCCAATGATTTCTTTTAAAATGAATTATTTCAAAAATTAAAATCAATCAACACATAAATTTTTTCAATAGAACGACATAGCTTTGAGTTCCCTATTGTATCGAGGGATACGTCAGAGCGGGACTCTTCCTGTCGAGCGCAAAAATAAATTTTTCAAAAATTAGTTTTCTTTTCTTTAATTATTTTTGTTTAATTCTTTGTGGTGAAATAAATATTTAAAATCTTATCGATAATTTGCACAGTTAATTTAAGGTAATCTTTTTTTAAACAGACGGTGTAGGGTGCTAACACCTTCCTTACTCGTAATCGACTCTCGAATTCATTTTCTATTTTAAAAACCAGTTTTCTGAAATAAAAAAAAATTTCCAACATTTTTTCAAATAAACCTTGATGATGACTCTATTATTTTTAAACTTTTAATTTCTTTTATCATCACGTCGCGATCCGATTGCTGACATTTGTAAACACGAATCGCATGGTAGGGCATAGGAGAATGATGATGGATTATAATTATCCATTGCCTCTCGCACATAATTTGGAATTATGGGTTGGTATCAATGTTATTAAAATCAGCCTCGACACCGGGTCACTGGTTCAACCGCATGACCCGGTAATTATATGCAATTTTATAATTTATATTAAAAAATTGTAAACATACTCAAATATCTAAAAAAAATGAATAAAAATTTCAAATATTTTAATACAAAAAAATAAATAATATATTATTATCAAATAAAAAATCAAACAAAAATATAATGATCGTGATACGAGGCTTTAGGTTCATAAAACGACATCTCTAGCTATAAATTAATTTAAAATTTTATGCATAGTACATAATTGAGATAATATTAGTGTTGAAGGTACATAACTTATGTAAGTCAATAAGCAAAAAAAAATTCAAATATGACTATTATGATTTTTTTTGAAAAAAGTAAAATTTTGGAATTTTTTTTTGAACCGAGCCGGGTCACCGATTTTTATGAAAACCGGCCAGGTCGGATCGGGTAGCACCGGTTCTGATGCATGGTCGATCCATTGCTTCAACCGGACCGATTATATGACCGATTTATCTGTTCCCGGGTCGACTCGGCCGGGTCGGTCCGATTTTATTAACTACGGAAATAACACACGCTATCTCTAATATATACTTAAAACTGAAATACAAAGAGATTACAACTATCAGCTAAACCAACTAAGAGCTCATTTGTTTCGTCATCTAAAAATATACTTTTTTCAAAAATTAAACTTATTTATAATTTTTTAAAAATATTTAATTTTTGAAAAAATATTTGACTTTTGACTTTTGATTTTTGATTTTTTTAAAAATTAAAATTTTTAACTTCTAAAATGAATAGATTTTTGACTTTTTTTATAACTTCTGTTTTTTTTTAAAGCGACATCCAAACAAACTTAAAGTAAGAAGTATTTTGTTTACCAAAAGAAAAAGAAAAAGTAAGAAGTATTTTTTTTTCATGAAAAGAAGCAGCTCTTGGAAAAAAAAAAAAAGTTTATCCAAACGGATCTAATTCAACTAACAGAAAACATAACTCCCTAACTGCTAACAGAAGGAGCCGAGGATATGTGTGTTGAAGTCAGTGGTAGTAGTGTTGGTGGGACAAGTGTCCGAGGCCAATGAGTCATAAAATGGGAAATGATTTTCATGAAATATAACATGGATTTTATAAGAGTTATGTTGTAGGAAAAGTGATTGTGTAATGTTATAGAGATTCGTTTTGCATGCCGTAATTTTCTTTTTTTCTTTTTTCTTCAAAAAATATAAAACCCACAAAATATTGTGTGTGTAAGAAAATTTGTTGTGTCATGTTAAATGACAAATGCAAACCCTATATAACATTCCTCCAAGTAAAAATCTGTGGAGACTCCACATCGAAGAGTATGTATCCCTTGACATCCTCCCGATATATGATTTTTTTTTTAAATGATATAAATTTTGAAATAATGAGATTTAAGTCTGAAGATATCAAATTAAAAGAAATTTTGTAATAATGCAGTAATAGTAATATTATTCATACGCTTTAAACTTAATTATACCTTTTCTTTTAGTGAAAAATAAGATCGGGTATACCCATTCTCTCTCTCTCTCTCTTTACAAGGAAGTATAAGGAGAAGTATATAAGTTCAACCTGTATGAATAATATTTTCTAAAATTAATGCTTAGCTAATAATTAATACGCTTAATCCAGCTAGGTGACGAGACTCGTTTTTATACAATAAGCAAATCAGAACGGCAGGTAGGGGAGTCTTATTCATCACATAAAAACTAAAGGTATAATTAATAAAGGTTTCCTCGAGCGTAACAAAAAAAATAAAATACGGTGTCGTATAAAAAAAATATACGGTGTGGTCCAGTTATAACCAAACCATCTAACCAAGTTGCACGGCTTATGGTTATTTTAATCATTTTGGATTCCTTGCTATGATACAGCCAGTATTAAGGTCTTAGGGAACTATACATACACCAAAATCTAAAGTTTTTAAGCGAAATATTTCAATCCTTTAAATCCCTCGTCAACAATAACAAAGTTGGAGTAAGAGATTTTCCAAGACATTACACGCTGGAGAAATCGTGGTATAAATATAGTATAATTTTTTTAGGTGCATGCAATATGATGAATTCTTATATAGCAAATATCTATCTTCGCAAATATACCTGGTAGAATCTCTCCACATGCTGAAAATTTGGATTCATATTGATATCCACGTGTTGCTTCTTGATTGGATATGTTTGTTTGTTTATATTGATTGACCCACGGCAACGGGTAGGTTTCCTTCACACTCCCAAAACTTTTGCAGTGAACCTCGTTTTCGGACACAGCATCCGCCTTCACGATAGTGGGAACACGATCTCATTGATGTTTGATGGCCCCACTTTACGTGCTCTCTAATATATATTATAATTTTATTTTATAAATTATATTAAATATGACAAGTGATATTTAGTATAGTTTATAAAAATTTGTATATATAACTTTTCTCATTTATTATTATTTAAGTTTTATCACTCTTATTATCTATTTTGTTGTCGTTATATTAATTTGAAGTCAATAACAATTAAATTTTTTTCTTTTTCAATAGTTAATTTTAAATTAATCTAACAATAATAAAAAAATAATAAGACTAAAATGAAATAGTGTTAACTATACAATTCGCATTGTAAAAATATATAAATATCTTTTACCATACCGATTCCTTTAACTTTATTGTAACAATACCGTTAAAAAAAAAAAACTTATTACAACATTTTCTTTTTGAGTGGTTAAACTTAAACCTAGGAAAAATCAAAATACCCATTTGTCATCTTAAAAGGTTAGTGGCGTTGAATTTGATTAACCCTTCGGAAGCATGCTGCTGTAAGATTTAATATGCACTAGTGAAAGCAGCAGTGATAGTTTCCTTGTAGATTTAATGCACGTTTGGCTTAAACAAGAAGCTGAACCCAGTGGATCTCTGTTCCATGAATCCTTATTTTTCACACTAACTATAGGTTCAAGTCAACGTTTCCTTTTCAAAATCCCTTCTTTTTTTTGGTAGGGATTGAACATTGAAATCTGAAGGAAATGAGTTCAAAGCTGCAAGATTCCCATGTTAAGAACTAGCAAATAAAAAAAATTGGGAATTGTGGAATTTGGTCCTCTAAGTCTTTATCACAATAGTGAACGATGCTGGAGAAGGAAAATCTGGAGGATCCCTCTGATGAAGTTTTGGAAGAAAATGAACCCAGAAAGGGGGTTTGTAACTGTCTCTGCGTTCCAGTCCATTGGTTCAGAATGCTTTCAAGGGAAACACATTGGAGTTTTGTATTTGGGGTGATAGTTGTTTATGGTGTAAGTCAAGGACTTGGTGGAGCTCTTTCTGGCGTTGCCACTAAGTATTACATGAAGGATGTTCAACAGGTTCAGCCATCTGAAGCACAGGTTTATGTAGGAATTACATACATTCCTTGGATTGTCAAGCCTCTCTGGGGGCTTCTCACTGATGTTCTCCCAATATTTGGATATCGCAGGCGACCTTATTTCGTTTTTGCTGGTATGATATGATACATTGTGCATATTTTCTCTCATTCTGTAAAGTTTTAAATACCACCCTCTTGGATCTCTATCAGTTTAAATTAATTTCATTGGATTTAGGTGAAATTGGTATGCTATATATGTTGTGAGTTGTGAGCATAGTATGCAGAGTTGAAGCTGGTAATGGATGGTGATTATAATAATTGCATTGAGATGTTCTTGGGCAGAAATGTTGTAGTCTTAGTCAACTAACATGTACTTGTGTTACTTTTGGTTTGTACTTTTTAACATTATCTGGATCTGAGCAATATTAAAATGGTTTGGGGCTTGTAATTGTATATCTGAAAGCTGGAAAATACGAGATAATGTCTCTTAATTGGGCTGGAACATTGCTCAAAGGTTTGTGACTCAGTATGCTTGATATAGGATTCTCTCTGTCAATAACATACTAGCTGCATACTTCTGTAATATAGCATCAGTGGATAAGCATCTAAACGCAGGTACATAGGGTTATCTTCTCTTTGAGGACAAGGTGAAAGAACCAGGTGTTACTAGTTTACACAAAATTTGCATGTGCACATGGATTCATACCTTATCTTACTTGGGAAGCCCATTATGTATCTTATTTTCAACAAGACTTTCAGATGTTCTCAAGAAGAATTGTGAGGATGTTATCTGAAATACTTACTTCCCTCTATCTTTTATTTTATTTTTCTCGTATTTTGATTAAGCAATTGCCGTATCATATCATCAACTAGGGATTCAAGTGATGTAGTATATATATATATACATATTGAGATGAATGTGTACTTTCAATACTATACAAAATGTATAATGAATGAGTACAAGTAAGCTTTTCTTCAGACAACCTTAGAAGGGTTACAAACAGTGCTGTAACATAATTATGTTCGCATCATATAAGTTTCTTATTTATGATTAACATGGACCTTCCTTAGCAATTTATGCTGCCTGAAAGGATTGCTCGAGGATTGATGGATTCAGAAATTGTTTCATTAACACAGTAGCCTAATTTTTAGCTCCTTTGATTGTGACAGGATTCATAGGAGTGATTGGCATGCTTTTGTTGGCTTTGCACGAAAACTTGCATCTTTTGTTGGCCCTTTTGTCATTAACAGCTGGAAGTGCTGGGGTGGCTATAGCTGACGTGACCGTTGATGCCTGTATAGCACAGAACAGTATCTCTCACCCTTCACTTGCTGCTGACATGCAAACTTTATGTGCCTTCAGTAGTTCTGTTGGAGCATTAATAGGTTTCTCCATTAGTGGTATCTTTGTTCACCTTATAGGCCCTATGGTTAGCCTCAATTTCATCTATAAAAGCTTTTCTTGTCTTTTATGCACTTCGTTAGTTGTATCCTAATAGCAGAGCCTTTTCCTCAGGGCGTGTTTGGTTTGATGACAATCCCAGCCGGACTTGTAATTGTTGTCGGTTTTGTGCTTGATGAGCCTCATATGCCTAACTTTGCTTACAAACAGGTATAATTTACTTATGTCGTTCATTTTCATGATCCTAGCTAATACATGCATAATCTGATATTCCATGTTGTGTCTAGGTGAACCAAAAGTTTCTTGATGCTGCCAAAGCTATGTGGACGACATTGAAAAGCGAAGATGTATGGAGGCCTTGTTTATACATGTATTTATCCTTTGCGTTGAGTTTGAATATTCTTGAAGGAATGTTCTATTGGTATACAGACTCAAAGGCTGGGCCGTCTTTCTCTCAGGTATTTGGTTAGGAATATTGTTGATATTAGCATATTTTATCTTTTCCTTTACGTGGGTGTGGAGTCTCGTGACTCTTTCATCCTTTGGAAAAATCACTCCTGCCGAGACTACTTTCTACTGCTATGAACCACCAGGATTTTTCCCTTATATCTGATGAGAGAAATTAGTATAATTGCCATTGAGGCTATGACAAACTATGGCTTCCACTCCCTCGTGCTTATATCAGAGTGGTCCACACCTGTGAAGTCTGGATACATTTTTTTTTTCATTTCATTTCACTTTAGAGAAATTCTTACTTATGGAGTAAGTAAAAATATTTCCTCCAACACATTGAGGCTAGACATGAAGTAAAATTACACATCACTATTATACACCATTTTAGATCTAACGGAATGGAGGAAGAACTTCCACTTACTCCAAGAGCAAGTAATATTTTTTCCTCACCCAGTTACCATGAGACTGATTCTGATACCCAATACCATGATCTAGTCCATGCAAAGAGAATAAAGAAAAAATTATTAAAATAAGCTAGCCACAGGTAGCCATTGGTCTTTTCTATAGATGACTGAAATATCTGTTCCCTTGCCAAGTGTTTTTATATGGCCCTAAGATATTTTTCCTGTCTTTATATAATGACAATAGTTTTTTATTTGGCCAAGGTCAAAATGAAAATCTGTTAACTATTTAGTGTTAATCTTGTTGCATGAATCTTGTTAAATGGAAAACAATGTTGTAGAATGCCTGTAACCTTTGTCGTTCTTCTTTCTTACACAGGAGACTATCGGTTTTATATTTTCAATTGGTTCAGTGGGGTCCCTTTTTGGTGCAATACTATACCAGTATGCTTTAAAGGATTATGCATTCAGAGACTTGCTTTTCTGGACTCAGTTAATTTATAGTTTGTCAGGCATGCTAGATCTGATTATGGTCAAGCGATTGAACCTTAAGTTTGGTATACCAGATTATGTCTTTGTTGTGGTTGTTGAGAGTGTAGCTCAACTGACTATTAGACTCAAGTGGATGCCTATGCTTGTACTCAGCTCAAAGCTTTGCCCCTCAGGTATTGAAGGCACTTTCTTTGCACTACTAATGTCAATTGATAATCTTGGACTTCTATCAGCATCATGGGGAGGTGGCTTTTTACTCCACATGCTAAAGATTACACGGACAGAGTTTGATAATCTTTGGTTTGCTATTTTGATTCGGAACATTTTAAGAATCACTCCACTTTGCCTGCTGTTTTTGGTACCTAAAGTTGATCCAAACTCTTCCATACTTGCAAGCCAAAGCTTGACTTCACATGTGGCCATTGACTCTTCAGAAACGGAGAATATTGAATTGGTGTCCCTTGTAAACAATGTTGATGGTAACTAGCCAAGAAAAAACCTTTCTTTCAGATTCTCAATTTCAAATACGCAAAAACTATCAAAGCAATGTTACTTTAAATTGTGCAGAGATAGGACACAAGAAATTGAGGAAAGTTTCAAGTGGCTTTGATGTACTATTGTTGCATTTACATCCATATTTTTTTGTGATGTTTTCATATTGAATATCTAATACCACAAGTCAATTTTTTGCATCTAATTGTGTAACAATACAGAATACAAAGTCAGTTAGTTGTTAGTAATTCTAATCTCATTATAAATAAACTTTAATAATATATATTCATTCAAACCATTTCCGAGTGCAGATTGGATGGTAGGGAAGGTGAAAATAAGAAGGGGTGTAAAAATGGAGACAAGTGAGGCTACTTGATAGAGAATGGATAATGAAATGAAAAATAATTCTGAGCTCAAATTTATGATTCCAAAGTTATTCACTTTCCAGTTTTCACTGGTTTCTTTTAACTCAACCAAACATATCTTAATGATCTGTCCGGAACCAGAAATTTGGAGAAGATTTTTATTTGTATTTTTTTTTGGCGAATTTGAGAATATTGAATTTAGGCAGAAAGAAAAATGGTTGATTTTTATTTTTATTTTTATTTTTTTGGGAGTGGGGATTGGACCTTTAGAAATGAAAGCCTTATTAAGCGATTGACTGTCAGTCAGCCACTAAAAGTAAGGACTCTTTGTATTACGAAAAAAGAAAAGAAAAGTGAAGACTCTTAGTAAATTAGCATAAAAAATTTATCAGTCATGAAGTATAATTCAATAAACACATTTGTGCATTTTTACGGAAGTATAATTTATTAATAAAATAGTTAAAATAACACGTATTGTTCTTTAAAAAGGAATAAAATGAAAAATTAACTCATGAATTGAATTTAATACTTAGAGGCGAATTACTGTTAGCTTGTCTTTTTAAATTATTTTCTAAATAAAAAAGAAATGAAAAAATGTAACTATTGTTTTTGGTACATAAAATATTTCTCATATTGTATGAGATGATTTTATCTTATCTATACACATGAAAATGTGTAGGATCTATGTGAGGAGAAGAGAAAAAAAATATAGGTCTCATAAATTTTTATGTATATCTAAGAGATAAAATTTATCTCTTATAATATGAGAAATATTATTTCATATGTATATATATATTTATGGGTTTTCGTTTTATCCTTTAACATAGCACAACAAATTTTCCTACTCTCACAACATTTTAAAACAAAAAAATAAATAAAAAATTAAGGCACGCAAAACGAATCTCTATAATATTACACAATCACTTTTCCTACAACATAACTCTTATAAAACTCTATATTTATATATATACAGGCTCCCTGCGACGAAGACCACCGTGAGCTTGTTTGTATATAAAGCGAGATCAGCCCATAACCAGGCCCAGGCCCAGGCCATTCCTGTGTGTAAAAAAAGAATGCAATAATGCATGTATAGCCAAACAAACAGGGCGCGGGTTTTAACCCCTATTCCGGATTAGGGTTAAGTTTTGAACACCGCTCAAACTTGTAATCAGCGTCTCGGCTCAGTCTCTCTCACTCTCAGTTGAGCCATTACTGATCAGCGCCACTGGTAAAAGCTCCAAACTTTTTTTTCCACCCTTTTAGGTTTAAACTTGAAAGTTGTGATTTTGTTCTGTTGGTTCGAATTACCTGTTTGTGGGCATTGATGTAATAATCAATGTCATAATAGTGAATGGTTTTGGTTGGTAAATGAATTACGTTCCTGACATACAAATACAACAACGTTGGTGTTTTTGTAAGGAACAATGAGTAGCCAAGGTGTTTCAAACAATGATCGTTCAAGGATGTATTGGACACCATTGATGGAACGCTATTTTATTGATCTTATGTTAGAGCATTTGCAAAAGGGAAACAGGATTGGCCACACTTTTAACAAGCAAGCTTGGACAGACATGCTAACCATGTTCAATGCTAAATTTGGATCCCAATATGACAAGGATGTCTTGAAAACGCGTTATGCAAATTTGTGGAAGCAATTCAATGATGTTAAGACCCTTCTTTCTCACTTTGGTTTTTCTTGGGATGCTGACCGTCAAATGGTTGTAGCTGATGATTTTGTTTGGGATGCTTATGTCAAGGCTCACCCTGATGCACGATGCTACAGAACTAAATCACTGTTAAATTTTGATGATTTGTGTATGATATATGGCTACACCATTGCTGATGGAAGATATAGTTTATCAAGCCATGATGTGAGCCTTGATGATCAAGTGCCCTTGGGTGAGTGTTGCTTTCAGTGTATTACATAGTATACTGTAACTAAAGCAAGAAAATTATTTATCTAAAAATAATGTGACCTATCATTAATTATGCATTATGGAACTTTGTAGGTGATGGAATGGGAAGCATTGCTGTATCAAGTAATGAGCGTCCCAGGACAGATTGGACTGATTCAATGGACCAATTTTTTTTAGAGCTTTTGCTTGATCAATTGGGCAGGGGCAATAAAGTCAATAATGGATTCAATAAAAGAGCTTGGACAGATATGTTAGCCATGTTTAATGCTAAATTTGGATCTCAACATGGTAAAAGGGTCTTAAAGAATCGATTCAAGAAACTGTTGAAATGTTACTGTGATATAACAAATCTTCTAAAACAGGGCTTTTCATGGAATGAACAACAACAAATACTTTCAGCTGATGATGATGTCTGGGATGCTTATGTTAAGGTATAAATGATCAAGATGACTGGGTGTGTGAAAGGGGGGGAGGGGAGCATGTGGAGGAGTATATGCTCATATACATGTTTCTTGGCGCTGACTGACTTATAATTCTTGTAGGCACATCCACATGTACGAACATATAGATTGAAAACTTTGCCAAACTATCGTGATTTAGAATTAATATTCAGAAATGTGTCTGAAGATGAGATCAGTAATTTGCATCCGGAGAAAACTCAGGAAGATGTCGTGTCAGAAAAAAAGGCTGGTGAGTAGCATCTAAAAGCTTTCTATCAGCCAGTTCAAGTTATATGTTACTGTTTTGCAATTTTATTTAATTTTTTTGAAAAAAAAGAAAAGAAATTAACAACTTGGTCCATAGTGGTCATGACATACTTATGGAAAATCATTTGGTACACTTGTCTGGAACTGTAAATGAATGCAGAAACATTGAAGAAATGGGACTTTATAAGTTAGTCGTCTGTGCTTTTTGTATCTTCCATTATCCTCCTCATGAATGTTTCCTGGATCTTTTTCTGCGTGAAAAGACTATAAGGATGTGTTTGGGTATGAAGGGTTTTAATTTCTCAACACCAATCGGGAATCTGGGATCCTCTCGTTTCAATTGTCATTTCTTGAATATCTATATATCTTATTGCAAAATATCTTGCACTTTAAGTTTCCTAGATACTGCAAAATTTAGGAGGGGTCAGGTAAAAGGACATTTTAACTTCTCAAGTATTTCAAAAATTAGAAATATAATATTTAGGTTTATTTGTTATTATGAAAAATTCAATACCCCCATGCCAATTCTGTATGTCATTCAAACATAGGGACTCTAATTACATATGTCTCACAATTAGATGTCATAAATTTAAGTTTTAGAAATTATAATGTCCACATACCAAACACATCTTTAGGATTTCCATGCAACAAACGCATCTGAAGTGACAAATGAAACTAAATTGCTTACCAGCTCTCCTTTTTAAGAATGAAAACTAATTCTTGCAAGTTGCAAGATGCATTGCATATTTGCATGTTAAAATTCTTATCTGAGGCCTTAAGATCTTTGGACAACTGAGTAGTTACCTCCGTTATCATGTATCTTTCTGAAGGTGAAGGAAAAGGAAGTCGAAACCCAAGTGGTACTGATCGTACTAGAACATATTGGACACCCCCAATGGATCGTTGCTTCATTGACTTGTTATTAGATCAGGTCAAAAGTGGAAATAGACTTGGGCAGACATTCATAACCCAGGCTTGGAATGACATGATTACATCTTTCAATAAACAATTCAAATCTCAATATGAAAAAGATGTTCTGAAGAATCGTTACAAACATTTGAGGAAACAGTTCAATGATGTAGACAATCTTCTTCAGCAGGATGGGTTCTCATGGAATGAGAAAAGAGAAATGATTGATGCAGAGGATCATGTTTGGGATGCTTATACAAAGGTGACCTATTTTTGCACTCTGATCAGGTGTCTTAGTTGTTCTATGCTTAAGTTAACATACAATTTGTGCAGGTACACCCTGAAACTCGATCACTTAGAGTTAAAACCTTGCCAGGCTATCACAAGTTGTGTGTTATATTTGGAGAGGAAAGTTTTGATACAAGATTCATTCGTATATCACATATTGCAGACGCCAGTAGTGAACTACCGATGTTGATATCAGGTATGTTTTTCACATTACTTGCAATAATAAGGCAGTATGTTGGATTAACATGGGTTGATAGATTGATGAATGTGGTATGATTTTATTCATTTCCTCTTACTATCACAACTGCCGCTTAGCTGCAGCTTCTTAAGGTTAGAAAGTTAATTTTTGGTACCAATAACCATTTTTTTGGGCTCAGTTCAACAATTCATCCAACTTAGACAGTAAATATTAAAAAAGCCAAATTTAGCAGCAATTTAATATCACAGAGTTCAAGTACATTTCACAAATTACACCTAAAATTAAAATATTGAAGCAACAGAAAGATCACCCGTATTGTCTTCCCTAATCTCCACTGGCAACAAAGTACTCGCTCCCTCCCTGTCACTTTCCTGTGTTCTCTTATGTCCAATGGGTTGTTCAAAATTCTGGACCAAATTGATTAAACTTAAGCAGATTGGTTAAATTGGTTAAACTAATACTTTTGTAAAACGCAAGCCATGCTTGATATGCAATCTGTCATGTTTATCACATTGCCATGCCCTTTTGAAATGTCAAAGAGGGTCGAAAGTATTGGTATTTTTAGGAATCAAGTCTTTTTCAGAGAAACTTAGATGGTATTCTGTATTCTTATAGATATTTACAATTTAAAGGTGAACAGAATAATGGCATTTTTCCCAATGTTTATAATGCTGGTTCTACAATAGAGTGGACAGAATCGATGGAATGCTGTTTTGTGGACCTTATGGTAGAGCAAGTAAATAGAGGAAATAGAATTGTAAATTCATTCAATGAGCAAGCGTGGACTCACATGACCGAAGCATTTAGCACTAGATTGGGACTCCAATGTGACAAGCAGTTTCTAGTAGATCAATACTTCTGCTTGATGAAAAAGTATGATGATATCAGCAATCTTCTCAGTCATAGTGGATTTGCATGGGATGAAACCCTACAAACAATAACTGCTGATAATGATATCTGGGACGCATACATCAAGGTTTTGTCTTCTCTCCATTGACAATGTTTTTTGCTTGATATCATCTTTTTGCAGTGGTCTTAGTGCTCTAACACTCCTTCCCCATTTCCAAATACCCCATTTTCTAGATTAGAGGTGTGTACTTGCACTAGGGTCCTATATGTGGAATATGGGGAATATTTTGTAACTACTGTTTCTTCATAATCTTATGATTGCAACTTGTTACTGAATGATATTTGCAGGATCACCCGGATGCCATCTCATATAGAAACAGGTTTTTGTATCTCTTCCATGATTTGTGCAAGATTTTCGGAAATGAAGTATCAGATGTAAGAGTGAGTGTTCTGGAGCAGCTTCAGTTGATGGAAGCAAACGATATTACCATTGAAATGGATATGGACGGAACATCTGGAAATTCGGTTGTGATTAGGAATATTGATATATCAGACCAGGATACAGACAGGCCAATGGAAATGGATATGGATGGATCATCTGGAAATTTGGATGTGACTAGTAACAATGAAATATCAAACCAAGATACAGAAAGGGCAAGGGAAATGGATATGGATATAACATCTGGAAGTTTGGTTGTGACTGGCAACGCTCCAATATTTTCTCGAGATAAAAAAAGGCCTTCAAACATAATGGATATAAATGGAACATGTGGGAATTTGGCAATGAGTGGCCAAACTAAACTAACACACCGTGTTAAAAGAAGACCTAGTACGATGCCATCAGATTTCAGACCCCCCAAAAAGGAGCTGAGAATAAAAGAAGCGATGTCTGAGATGGCAACTGCTGTCAAGGCACTGATGAATAAGAAGGAGAAAAACACCAATAAATCATTTGAAAATGCTTTAAGTGCACTTCAAGCTATGCCGGACATAGATGAGGAGCTAGTAATGGATGCGTGTGATCTGTTGGAAGATGAGAGAAAGGCGAAGATATTCTTAGCCTTGGATATCTCATTGCGGAAGAAGTGGCTGCTTAGAAAGCTTCGTCAGAAATAGCCACATGCCTTATTGTAGTTAAAAGCTTAGCCTGGACTAATTATGGTTATCTGTTGTTTTACTTTCTTAGGCAAGTTTTGAACTAGATTTAACTTTTCCTTGTCAAGATTTTCCTTTTCCTCTCTAGTAAGTCTTGGACACAATCTACAGTGAACCGTGACTGTGTACAGTTCAACATAAAGCTCAAGCCTTGTGTGTGTTTGTCTATATATATATTGGCGGAAGTTGAACCAAGTTTGAAAATTTTCTTCTTGAAAGCTCTGAGGAGCTAATAACTATTGTTAGTCAGTAACAAAATTCTTGATGTAACATACCTATGCGCCTAACTTTCAGTTCTTTTTGGTTGATTAAATTAGGACGCGACGTAATTTTCTTCTTCAGTGAGATTTTACTTTCATTTTTATTCGTGCTGGATGTAACATGGCCTTATTAGCTTTGAAGGTATTATTCATGCACTTGCTATTCCAACCATAATCATCTCATCTTCGCTACAAGGCAAATAATACATCATGCAGTTGAACTATGTAACCAAATAGGTTATTCAATCCTTCAGATATCATAAAAGCAAGTTATTATTACTTTAAACAAGGACAAGCTTTCAATACATAGAAAGTGAACTACAGAGACAACAGTCATTTGCTTCTGAAATTTCATCAGCACTTGCTATTGATATTAGAAATATGTGCCTAGATCAAGTACAGTTTTTATGCCAAACAACATACACATTAGAGCATAGCCCTCTCAATCATTAGAGTATTAAAGCATACGATTTGTAAATCAATGTGCCAATTTCTTCAAATGTTGAAAGATTCGTTGCTTAATCAATTGTCGATCATGTGTCAAGTAAGCATGATTTGAATGATCATAACTGCAAGTAAAGACAAACACTCATAGTAGGCACGGCCACAGCAACACACATACACCAACATACAAAAGAGTCAATTATATACATAGACTTTAGTTTACGTATTACATGAGGCTACTACATTTTTAATATTTTCCTGGAGACGGTCATAGCAGGCAGGCAGATTCAGCATATGATAATGCGGATAAATAATAATGAAAATTAGTCTACAAGTGTGTAGGTGAAGGTGTATTCATTAAAATTTAAACATATAATATATTTTTATTTATTTGTTTTATAATTTAGATTTTTTTCTATTTAAGTTATATACGTTGTTTCAAATAAAAGCAAACCAATTTATCTATATCTAATATGAAAATTCTTCTACTAATATTATCATGGGTTGATTAAATAATGAAAATTAGTCTACAAGTGTGTAGGTGAAGGTGTATTCATTAAAATTTAAACATATAATATATTTTTATTTATTTGTTTTATAATTTAGATTTTTTTTCTATTTAAGTTATATACGTTGTTTCAAATAAAAGCAAACCAATTTATCTATATCTAATATGAAAATTCTTCTACTAATATTATCATGGGTTGATTTTATAATTTTTAATTTATGTCTTTTTCAACATTTTATAAGATTTTGAGTTTTTTATTTTCTTAAAAATACTATCAAAGTGATAACCACGAGATGGATTGACATACACTAATATGCTCTGTTTGATCAGTTCAAATCAGTGTTATAAAAACTGGACCGGCCCATCAACCGATCCGGTTACATCATTAGACCGCTTAAGTAGTTGACCCGGTGACTCGGTGATAAACTCCAGTTCAACCGGTAAACCGATACCGGTTTTTTAAAATTGAATATTTTTTTGCAGCAGGTGGGATTCGAACCCTGCTCATTGGTGTGAGGAGCACCTACTCATACCAGTAAGCCACCATTACTCGTTGATTAATAGACATCATTTAATATATTTATTATATAACTATTAAGTTAAGAGAATTATTTCAAAAATCACATCTAATGGAGTTTGAACCCCTTCCATTGAGGTTGTGCAACATAGCAAATACCACTAAACTACACCCAGTTATTATTTAGATAGCACCATTTAAAATATTTATTATATAATTAAGTATAAAATATAGATTTATATATATATATATATATATCCGGTTCATGCGGTTCAACCAATGACCCACCAGTTAAACCATTGACCCAGTGATCCAGTACCTCGACCGGGTCAATGACCGGTCCGGTTCTAATAACATTGGTTCAAATAACCCTGTCAGAAAGTTTAAAGTATATAAAGTTTTTCTACAAATATTCGTAGTTGGATGGGATTGTTTGCATTTGTTTAGGAAATGTCATTGAAATTGAAAAAGAAAAAGAAAAACCTAGAGTCATGAAAGTTGACCAAAATTGGCATGTAAGGTTAGTGTGGCATTCATTAGTATTGTTGAAATATATAAAATCATTAATGTAATCTCATCTAAAAACTTAAGTTTTGAGTTGAATTGGTTCTTTACTTGGTATCAGAGCCTCGGTGTACAGGGTTCGATCCTCACCGCCTCCACTTTCGGTGTACTTGGTATCCCAAGATTCTTTACAAGTATTTAGGAAGATTGGTCAAAGCTTTGGTTGGTGTTCTCCAATTTGAACTTTTTTCTTTTGTTGATTAATTTTTTTTCAAATTTAACAAGGATTAAAGTTCCGTCAAACTGTTGTTATGAGTGAAAACGACGTTGAAATGGGTTCCTAATCCCCTAATGGCTAAAGCGATTTGTATACAGTTCCCAGAAAATCTTAAACATTGAGCACACATCCTTTCATTGAATACACAACGTGCTTCAAGTTTAGTTAAAGCAAGAAAATGGTAGAAAGGGATAATCCTTTTGTTTTTGTTTTTCTTTTTTGCTTTACAATTAATATTTTTATTTGGATCTATCCCCTGCGTTTTCCTTAACTATCCAATTTTTGTTCTTCAAATTTTGAATGGAATGGAGAAACTAAAAGTGTAAAATAACATGGAGTTAAGAATTATAAACGTTCTACTTTGTTAATTTATAATTTAACTCCCAAACAAAATTAATAAAGTTATTTTATTCCCTTATTAATCTCCCAAACAATTAAAAGACAGCTTTATTTCATTCTCTTTTTCAGCCTATCCTTACTTATTTTGGTAGGTTCCATTAAAAAAAATAACCTCCTAAAATACATGCCAAACTATGATTAGCAAATATGGAAGATCCAATTGACAATACAGTTTATTTCATTAATAATTTTATTTGGGTCGAATCAGGATGACACCAGGGTCCAGTCCAATTTTTCAAAACTATAGTGTTGATTGTTAAATCGCATTTAAAATCCGTCGGCACATTTGGAACGTCGCCATGGGTCAACTCAGGTACAATAATTAAAATGACACAATCCAACGAGTATAGCTCAGTTGAAAATGCAAATTAAATGGATAGGAAGAGAATTTGAATTCGACTTTTACAATTGTGACGGACTCAAAATTAGTTTCATGGCTCGAATAGTTGAAGGTTACGAGAATATCAACAGTTTACTCGTTTCAAAGAGGTAATAAAAGTTTGTATACAAAAAAAAAATGATATTTTGAAAAATAAATTATCTAAATGTCATGGTTAAATTTTTTTGTCAAAATATCACATTTTAAGATCTGTTATCAATTTCAATGACCCAGTTTGTCACATGTTGTTTGGACAAAGATTCACTATTTATGATCGTGGGTTCCAGGTGACACGTGACAGAACAATAACCAAATTATATAAAAAAATATCGTCTATTTGTCACGTGTCACACAGATAGCAACTTGCTATTAGAAATAACGGGACTTGGACACGTTATTTTTTACGGCGAGTCCTTCTCCAGACGACATATGACCAATTGAACCTATTGAAACCAATAATGGATCTTGAAACGTGGCAATGTTATTGATCAATTCCATAATGAGTACTGTTTTACCCATTCCAGCTCCACCGAAAATGGGAAAAATATTTCTACAGCCACTTTAGATAAAGTTATCTACAGCTATCCCTTTTTAATTAAGTACGACCGTTCGTACTTAGTTATAACAATAAAGATGCTCTTTTTCTCTCTCCTCAGACATTGTCGGCTGACGTGGCGGAGAGAGAAAATGCACTTTTAATGTACGACCGGTCGTACTTAGTTAAAAAGCGATAGTTGTAGACAACCTTATCTAAAGTGACTGCAGAAATGTTTTCCCCATATATATATATATATATATATATATATATATATATATATATATATATTTAGAAATAAGAAAAAGTGTTTGTCATTTTAAATGACAGAAAGTTATGTCATTTTAAGAGAGATACAGACACAGAAAATTTGAATTTTAAATTAAGAAAAACCACTCACTTTCTCTCTCTCATGATTTCCATTTTTCTGTGTCTATCTCTCTCCTAAAATGACATAACATATGTCATTTAAAATGACAAACACCAAATCCTTAGAAATATATTTAGAAATGTGGTATTTGATTAATTTATTTCCCAAAATGTGTTATTTTGGTATTTGTCCCATCAACTAATAAAGCCCATGGAAGCAAAAAAAACGATGGATTTCTGATTTCAACTTCAAGCATCACTCCGGGGCAGTATTTTTAAAGGATGAATACCATACTTTTAAAACTATATTAAAGAGCGGAGGCAGTGAGGTTTGTTTTTATATAATTACAAAAACCCATTTTAATCCAAAAATTTAAACATCCATAATAATAATTTTATATTAATATCTCAAATTAAATGAATCTCCCCAATGAAAGACTTTGCTTGAAGTATAATGGAAGCTAAATAGTTAATAGGTTATAGGTCTGACAAATTTGGTTCTATCTGTTGTTTGCATCTTCTGCCTTCTAAAATTATTATCTTAATTGTCCCTCAGTTTTAGTATAAATTTTTGTTTCAACCAATCAATCGCAAAAATGCATTAAGAATTCAAATAAACTACCAAAACTAGGAATTACAGTTTCTAATACCATGCTATTATAAAATGCCATCACTATCAACCTCCCTTGACAAGAATACGTGTCCATTCGTTTGCCCGAAAAGGGTGTTTCAAATAAAAAAAATGGAATGGATGCCCATTTTATTCCCTATTTCTCGTTATTATAAAATTATAATCAAGGTTTAAAGGTTGGGTTTTATAAGAGTTATGTTGTAGGAAAAGTGATTGTGTTATGTTATAGAGATTCGTTTTGCGTGCCGAAGTTTTTTTTTTTTTTGCTGCGAGCCCCACAAAATGTTGTGAGTGTAGGAAAATTTTTGTGGTCATGTTAAATAATAGATG